TTTCTATCAAACCTATTTCTCTATTCTCCAATTTATCATATATACATACTCATAGCGACGGTGATCGTGAAGTTTGAAGCAAACGGCTCCTAAAAAGGAAGAAACAAAAAATAGAATAGATAATGGTGTGGAAATCCTTAACTACAAGCTTTGCATTTCATTTCTTTCTCCCGTTTGGCTATAGAAAAAAAAAAAAAAAAAAAAAAAAGCGATTGGCATCTGATGGTTATAGGCAAGGTTGTAGGTCCAAGCATTAAGGAAGGTAGGCAGTTCAAGTTCAATAGACAAGTGACAATTCTGGGTGGAATAGTAGCGGTATCCCCATGCAACTGAGTGCAACACCTTGGCATTACCTCTATAAGGAGTCCAAAAATGAATGGCTGTTGTATGTGTTGACACCAACGGCTGTTTACATCTATTTAAATGAACCAAGTTTCTGAGTATGTTTCACCTGTGCAATTCAACGTTTGAATTGGAAACTCTAAATATACTCTAAATGCATAGATGCTTCTAAATTTTTTAATACAAAAGTCTATAGATGCTTCTAATTTCTAAATTTCAAAGTTTCTGAGTATGTTTCACCTGTGCAATTCAACGTTTGAATTGGAAACTCTAAATATACTCTAAATGCATAGATGCTTCTAAATTTTTTAATACAAAAGTCTATACAGTGAGCCTTTCATGCATAATCAAAGCAAATAAGTTTTCCGAAAATTGGTATTCCACATTATATTGTACACTTGTTAACATTATAAATTTAACAGACATCCTTTTAAGTCTTTTAGGCATATCAAAGTAGATTATGTCTTAAAAAAAAAAAAAGAGTAGATTATGTCTACCCAAGTATTATGCCGAACGCTATTTATCATAGTTATAAAATTCGGCTCGGCCCGACGATTGAACCGGTCGGCCCAGTGATCCAGTCCCTCTGCCGGATTTCTTATCGGACCGAGTTTAATAACTATGCTATTTCGCCGAACGCCGGAAAAAAAAAGAGTAGATTATGTCTACCCAAGTATTACGCCGAGCGCTATTTATCATAATTATAAAATTCTGCCCGACCTGGCGATTGAACCGATCGGCCTAGTGACCCAGCCCCTCTGCCGGGTTCCTTACCAGACCGAGTTTAATAACTATGCTATATTACTGTGGAAAATGTAAATAGGTTTTTTTTTCTTTTGGGGTTTTGAGTAAAATGTAAGGTAGAATATCAAATTTCAATTTCATCAAGGTGAATAATGATATGTATGCTCCAAAAGAATCTTCTCACACTCTACATTTCTTCACGTACTAAATTGTTGAAATGATGTGCTAGGAGCTATTTTTGAAGTTTAAGCTCAAATATCACTTACCTTTCACCAATCCAACTTTCATCAATGATTGTTTCTAAATCATCATCTAGTTTTCATTTCTTAAACTGAGTTAGCCATGCCCATGTTTTTACTAATCATACAGGGACATGGCGGAATAGAAGTAAGCTAGGTACGTCTGCGATTTAACTCTAAACTCTTTACAGAGCAAGAGTAATCGAGTTGGTTATAATAAGCATCACTTTCACCATGCACTACAGAACATCGATGGAGTACTCCGTATAAAGTTTAGGGTAAAAAAGAGGTAATTGCATCAGATTAAACTAATGGGAACAAGACTAATTTTATCGATCACTAGCGCCTTTTATGGAGAAGTAGCATACACATTATAAAATTTTTCCGACCATTTCATCACCTAGGCCAGGAGATAATGGTGGTTGTCGCCATCTATGCACATCTTTTTGGTAGTCCCCCACACTCACTCACAAACTCATAATTTAACAGGGAAGGCCGTTGTATCTTCTCCTCTGATGAGTCACAAAGGGCACCTCATAACACCTCCGACAAGAGAAGAGTGGTCCCTTTCGACTAAAGTTACCACACAAGCCGTTAGCTATAGATCCACAACTTGTTTCAGAATGAGTCTCCTTTTTGCTTACCAGCTTTAAGCAATCATACTCTCTAATTAATAAACAACTTCCATCATTTTGTTGTGATTACTTTCCGTTTCATGCCCATGTAAAATGTTACATTAACTGCAGGAGTCATTGTCTCTGATGTTTGATCCCTCCCACCTCCAAAACCCTCGTCTCTGGCTACCATTACGTAAGTGAGAATATATATATATATATAAGGGTACATGATAAAAGGCGAGGTCAGTGGTATTTTACCTGCAAAAGTTTCATTCTCAAGCAAAATTGTACGCAAAATAAGGGTGAGAAAGTTATTTATAACCATGCCAAATTAATTGCTAATGACTGAAAAAAGGCACAAAACTAGCATAATCTTCTCTGTTAATTCATACGCATTGTTGTAACACTTGACCACATATTTGTAATCTTAAGCAATTTTGTAACTTAAACCTAAGTGTCTAGTTTGATGGCTCAGTAGTTTTTTTTTGGCTTTCAATGTTAAAATTGGTTCAGTGCGCAAGTGTTTTGACTCGTAGATAGTGTCTAGACTATGCTGCAAATAATAGTACTAGTCTACGAACTTTTTGGCATAGTTCAAATACGCAGACGCCTTTGTAACTATTTCAAAAAGTAAACATATATATATAACCAAACAACCGTTAATATATAAATGGTGCATTTACCATCACAACCTCTTACAAAGACATGCAACTTAATTATTGTCAAGATAATGCTTTCTTCCTTAGTCCCGGAAAAGTTATACAGAGTATGAATCTCTATATATCTATAGCCTTCTATCTTTTTTATCAGCTGTTTGCTTTAGTAAAATAAGATAGAAGTGTTTAGGCTTGAATTTTAACTTTAGAGTATAGTTAAGAAATCATACTGATCTGTTGACAAAGCTTGGAATACCGATTATGAATTTTCAGTTTTTTGAGTCTTGATATGAGCTTTTCCAAAAAAATTCAACAACCATTCAGGTGACTATACTATACAGGGACTCCGATTTCGGATACTTGTTGCAACTTTCCTTCTTCTTTTATCAGAAATTCAATATTGGAGTGGTTGGAGGTTTTAATGGAACCCTCATATTTTATTAACTGAAACGATGATGCTGGAAATTAAATCAAGGACATACAAACCACAACTACAGTGAAAATTAAGAACAAAACTCTAAGATGATTAAGAGTAGATCAACCTATCTAGCCTAGCTAATAAGATGTCAAATATGCGATGAAGTGGTCCCTGAATGCAGGGGGGGAAAAAGAATTGGAAATCATGTCCTTCATTTTCTATACCAAATAGCCAAGAAGCTATATTAGTTTCCAACTGTGAAGAAGAATTTCCAAGTATAAGCATTAATCCTAGCTAAAAGTCATTGGCTGCAGCAAGCCCTGAGATTATAATTAGGTATCTTGCAGTATTGAAATATAAAATTTATGATCAGATCTGGAAAGTTAAAATGATCATAGAAGTGTTGCTTTGTAAAATATGAAATGCTTTTCCTAGATTCATTCGACAAATGGTGAAGTTTAAACAATGAAAGGTAAAAAACTATACTTACATGAGAAGAGGTTAAAAACGAAGAAAAACAAATGGCTTATTACATTTTCACTCCCCCAATTATACAGGATGAACTGATTTGTCTCTCTATCTTTGTGAAAAATACATTTTTGGCAATATTTTAAGTGGTCCTCATTTGAGCTCATTCTATTAAATGATTTTGGTCGTTTGTTGAAAAAAAAAATTAAATGATTTTGGCTTCCTAAAATTACATGTTGACTCTTTTTAGAACTTCTTGGTTGTTGTCTTATAGAAATTTCTATGGGAAAGAGAAACTCTGAAATTACTAATATTTTCTGAAATTTCAGATACCAAATTAGCACTTAACAAACCACTCAAACCTCTGAGACCAAAAAAAAAAAAAAAAAGGAAGAGAGGGGGGGAGGAGAAAAATTGGGCAGCTGTACGTAATGATCTAGTACATTTCTCCTTAAACTGGATATGACATTTCCTTTTCTCAGCGACGTAGACATTTGTCCCTAATTTGAAGTGCTACGTTTGCAGATCATAGGCATATTTCTGTAGAGAGCAAATCTAGTGTTTTCATGATGAATGCATAAATCCGACTGTGACTTTGAAAGATAAAACTTAGATTGAATTGATTTACGGCTATACCTGATATGATCTCTTATTTCTTGTTTAATTTGGTACGATAACTCAGCTTGTTGTCAGTGGCCATATATCCACAGAGTTACACATCACATAGTTCCAAGTCAACAAGGTAAACGTTTTTTTTTAAATTAAAAAAAAAAAAACTAACTAAATCAGAAATGCATTAAAACATGTACGTGATATCATTCAGGAGGTTTCATTTGGCTACAAAAGTCATTAGCTAAAGCAGCCAAAACACAAATGGGAGGAGGGGAATTAAAATAGGCACATCTCCAGCAATTGGAGAGTGTATTAACAACAAAGTTACGCTCTTTAATTATGCCAGAATTATTCCAATTGGTGATCCATTACCAAGTTGTTTTTCTTACACCATCTCTGCCGGAGGTCTCCAATCATAATCCACCAAACTTAAGCGGGGCTTGATTTACTAAACATGAAACTTTTTGGGTAAAAATGTCACAAGAGCCAGACTTCATGGGTACAAGTTTTTTTTTTTTTCAAACAGTAACTTTCTTAAAAAAGAAACATTACTAAAAGAAGGTTGTATACCTACCTAAAGATGGTTACAATTAATGTTATTTTCAAAATAATAGTAACAATGCCAATGATGACGATGATGATACAACTTGTTCATGCAAACATATGGCACAATTAAGTCATAATAAAAGTACAACTTGGTCATATAAACATTTGGGACGGTTATTCAAATTGCTATTGAATACATTTTGTATCAATATATAGGCGGCTACATATAAGAGTGCATGAGTATAATAGGTATGCGGAACAGTGCACCTACGAGACCCTTTTGGGAATTTACCCTAGTGAATGACTTGCACTAGTACATATAATTTACTTGCACACTTTAGTTTTTGACGCAATATTATAGGTCACAAAATATATGCAAATGATAAGTTCGTATTTACGTCCATACAGAGAAAGTTTGGTGAAAGTGAAGGGTGAGAGTGCTGAAGAAGAAGAAGAGAAGGCAACCCTTTTCTCCTCTCCTTTCATTATCCCATCTCCCTGGCTTTGCTTGTTTCTTGTCTGATTAGCAAATCATTCCCTAGCTTCCATGAATGAGCTTCCAAACACCTAAAACAAGCAGATCAACAATTCAGCACCCACGGCGAGCTCCACCGATTTATCACTGATCATCACAAAGATGGTGATGTTTCTGGTTCGCTACTGCCGCCTATAGTCCCAAACCCCAAATCCAACCTTGTACTACCGTCTTATTACAGGTAACTTACCGACATAAGTAGAAATGACTAAGAGAAATCAAGAAACTTTACCATTCATTCTGGCATCATTGGCCTTTTACCTTCTGTTTCCAAAATCAGTTCCCATCGATCTTTAACTTGATTTTCATGTGCATCATCCGTTATTCTTCAGAATATGCTATAGTCTATCAGTTTCATATTATTACACACAGTAGTTTATTCCAGCACAAAGATTACTGTTACTTCTTGAATTTAACATTAAGCAAGATGTTGATGTATTAAATAGGAAGTGGGATGCTGCCAAAATCTTGTTTTACACCTCCCTTTGACAATTGACAGGGTAAGGGCTTACACAAGCTGCCTAGCTAGAATAGGGGTAATTGAATTCGTCAAATCCCAACTATCAAGTTTGAGCATCTTCACACGCCCATGTCCCAAAGCTTCCATCAAGGAATCTACAGCTTCTCAAATGGATATGAAAGATCTCCGACCACGACGAAGCAAGGGATGGAGTGGATCAGCCAAAGAGTGCAAAACTTTGAGCTGCAGCAGCAGCAGCAAGTGCAAACTGAGGTTAATTCTGGAGAGCCACCGGTTTATGATGATACCGGAGGTGGGATGTTGACAGAGATGATAGATTTCTCTCGGGGACGCGGTAAATCAGCTAATCATTTACTGCTAGATGGTCAGATCCCCTCCAGTTATAGATGGTCTCAAAAACAGCAACTACCACTGACGGTGGTAAACGAAGCTGAGGTGAGTAAAAACTAGTACTACTTTTTTTTAATGATGTAAGAAAAGCAATACGACTAATTATACTAATGATTCTTGAACAGTGTTACAGTGCTTTTCTTATTTTTACCAATTTTCATGCAGCTTCTGCTCATGAACCCGCTTCATGTTAAAGCATCTTCTTCTTCTCCAACTAGTACATCTTCGCTCCACATGTCGGTTCCAAACTCCTCCGACTCTCATCATCCTAGCCTTCATCTTCAAGAGTATCATTTGGAAAATCCTTCTCAATTTTCTTGGGTTCGCGTTAACGGTAACGAAGTTGATGATGATAATACCAAAATCGGAAGGGCCATGGAGGCTCAAGGGCTTTCATTGTCATTATCTTCTTCGATGCCAAACTTGGAAGCAGCCAAATTCCAAGAACTGAGACCAGGAGATGGTGGGGTGTACTTCTTTGATCAAGGAGTAGGGCCCCCAATGAATTTCAGTGGATTCAAGAATCAAGAACCTAATCCAAATATACTAGGTAATATTGTTACGGATTATTCTAGTCAAGTTCACGTTGGACTTCCAGCTTCTTCAAGAATCGGGAATGTCTTGAGGAATCCCAGGTACTTGAGGGCTGCCCAGGAATTGCTGGAAGAATTCTGCTGTGTTGGGAAGGGAAATTTGAAGAGCCCGAAAAGTGAAAACCCTAGGACCATTTCTATTGTTGAGAATGCTAGTGGAGGGGCAGTTTCATCAGCTAGCTCCAAGGACCGCCCGCCTTTATCAGCTGCTGAAAAGACGGAGTACCAAAGGAAGAAGGTCAAGCTCTTGTCCATGCTTGATGAGGCATGTATCCAATTCTCTCTCTTTCTCCTCTTTTTACAACATGGTAGCATTGAGGAATTTTTGGTAGGAATAGTTAATTTCCTGAACTTTTTGACCACTTCTCTCCTGGCATGCAATAAGAAATCCGGCCGACAGACTCAGGTTGAGATTGAGATTCTTCTTTGAACTAAACTAAGTGTTTGCTTTACCAAGCCAGCTGGAGATTAAAATTTACTAGTATAGCACAATCCAAGTGTTATCATTTCTGTATATTCTTTCACTTGAACGTCTGACAGGATACCATCTTGGGGTACATGTCGAGGAAGGAGCGACATGCCTCCATTATAGGTTCAATCTTGGATCTATCATGAAGGCTAAGCAAAAGATTCATCCGTACTAACAAATATGTTTTGCTCAAAGAGCTTGGATTTCAAACATTTTGGGACCATGTCTTTTTCATGTTACTGTATGATTTTAAACATTTCTTTAATATAATTGAGTTGTACCATTGACACAAGGCATCTTAATTATCAGAAGCTTCGATTAAAAAATTCCCAAGAAGGTCAGAATAAAGCCTAATGTTACGCTGAAACTTTCAAAGAAATGGACCTTCCAACTCCTCCAATAATCTTCCCAGCCATACAAAATGCTTACCCATGATGATATGAATTTTGAATTGGTTAATGAATGATTAAGTCCTCTACTGAAGTTTGCATTAGGATATTGATATCCTTAATTATTAAGTACTCTACTGAAGCTTGCATTAGGAAATTGATATCCTAATTAATAAGTGCAGTTGATACTCCACTTTCTTCCGGGAGCAAAAGAAAGTGTTTTTGTTGCTAACAAAGGCTCGTAATTGAAGCCTAAGTGTCTGTTAATGACTTGGCGTTACATGTAAAGCTTCGCGTGCCATACAATTATTTAGTGCCATTTTTTCTTTTTTTAACTTTAATATTCAGTCAAGTTTCAATTGTTGATGACCATGTTACAAAATGTATCCGTTTGCTTATTAATCAGGTGGATGCAAGGTACACACATTATTGTGAACAAATGCAAGCTATTGTCCACTCATTTGACTCGGTGATTGGATATGGGGCGGCAGCTCCATACACAAACCTTGCTCAGAAGGCAATGTCAAGGCATTTCCGGAGCATAAAGGATGCAATATTGGGTCAGGTGAAGGTTACATGCGAACTTCTTGGAGACAAAGATGTGAATGGTACAATAGGCTTGACCAAAGGAGAGACCCCAAGACTTCGGTGGCTTGAGCAAAAGTTTAGGCAGCAGAAAGCCCTTCATCAATTAGGAATGCTTGATCCCGAGACTTGGAGGCCCCAGAGAGGCTTGCCTGAACGATCTGTTAACATACTGAGGGCCTGGCTTTTTGAGCATTTTCTTCACCCGTACATCTCTCTCTCTCTCTCAGTTTTAACAGCCTTTACTTTTACCCTTTCATTTTGTTGATTTTTGGTTGAAAGTTTTAGTCATAAAGATCACGACATCCTTTTGTTTTGCTTTCGTGCAATGAGGAAAGGAAAGATTGTCTGGTCTTAGAAAGTCTTTTGTTAATGGAATCTTGTTTGTATTTGATAATTTAAGGAGTCACGAAATCCAGTGCAAGAATTGTTGGGTTGTGATGATTGTTGTGGGATTTTGAATGATAAGTCCTGAATTGGGTTCTGATGTTGTCTCTCTGCAGGTACCCGAGTGATGCAGACAAACATTTGTTATCTCGACAGACTGGTTTATCGAAAAATCAGGTACTCACTCGCACCTTTCTAGACCACGAAAACTGATGTGTCATAATATGCCTTAGAAGTTAAAAATCCATCTTCATCTTCAATGGCCACATCATATTTTAGGAGCATCAACTTTGCTTGAAACATGAAGGGTTAGCAGTACTTTATATGCTGTCCCAAATTTGGTGAAGAGACCGAAACTGAAGAAAGTTGAGACATTTACGAGACAATTACATCGCTCTCGTACTAAAACAAAATCTAAAAGTTTACAATTATATCAAACGTTTTCTGCCCATCGTGAGTTCTCAGATGAATATATGATGAACAACTTTTTTTTTTAAAAAAAAAAAAAATTTTAGTAACAAGAGATTCTCTACAACTAGCTAGACAATAGGAACCATAGATAGAAAGAACTATGAGTTTTAGTCTTACAACGACCATGCTTCTTTTTCTTCGTCTAAAAATGTTGTGGCTCAATTTATTTCCATAATAATTAGCAAGAAAGATTTTAAGAATTTTTTACATTACTTGTATAAGTGCACTACTTCAATAGAATATCTGCGCCCGGGCAGCGTGCAGAACATGTTGTCCTAGGTGTATATTTTGCCTAAGATTCCACGAAAAGAAATTAACAATATGCATTAGTTTACAAGATTCATGCAGATTAAAATAGACAAGTATATGGATATAAAAATTGCAGACAAATTCAATTTATGCATACAACTGCAGATATTCACGATGCATATATGCGTACATATGTGTGTAAAGACTATAGGTATATGCACCAACACCAATGTTGCATATATGGTCATACGATAAAAAGGAAAATGAAAAGATATTGGATTGTGCTAAAGTTGTTCTAAACTACATCCATACGTATATCGTCTCTACTTATAGTTTTAAGAGACTTAATTTTTCAAAAAAAAAAAAAAAAAAAAAAAGCAAATAGATCAACTATTTAGATATTCGTGTTGCAAATTTGATTCTATGTTCATCCCAGACAATTGTCGTGTCTAAATTCACCTTTGGTTCACTACGGTTTGGTAAATTACTATCATATTTCTCAAGTGTCTGATGATGCACTAAACGGCTATCATTCCAAATCATGCCTGCCAGAAATAGACATCTCCATCACCTATATGATTAATTATTGGGATACTTTTAAAAACCTCTTCCAAGGTTTCTAATACTTTCATTGTGCTCCATCGAAATTTAGAAATTACACCTACCTCAAAAGTCCAACTAAAATGATAATATTAACCTTACTATTTTAATAACACTCTCTTGTTGGGTATGTATATAGAAAGAATGGGATTTATAATTATATTTTTTTTCCTTTTCTCTTCTTATTTGTCTTTTTTTTATATATATTTTGCGAGTAAAACTATAGAACTCTAAACTATAAGTACGGACTATAATTGCTATCATTATCAAATGTTGAAGTAGTGATCGATCTTTTTTTTTTTTTTGTGACAACTTTGAATATGATCCAATGTTTTTTTTATTGATTTTTTCTCTTTGTATCAAAAGCAACAATGACTTAGAAAGAAACTATTTAAAACTACTACTAAGCTATGATAGTTCCAACAAATCAAAAATCCGCAAACTCTAAAAGAATTATGGTAATACTTTCTTGTCCAACTTAGAAGGAATGTGTATCAAGATTAAAATACCATGTACAGTAACTTATCATAGTGATAAAACTATTGTAATAATTGCTTATTCAATAATAAATATAGGTATTGAAAACTTGACGCTTTTCTTTATATTTTTACTATATATTTTTACAATTGTTTAGGAAAGTAATGTAAACTGAGGGCATTTTAGGGTGTTCATTTAAAATTTTGACCAAATCTATGATTTTGTTCCCACAAGTGTAATTTTTAAATTTTCAAGGGATCTCAATGAAATTATCACAAAACTTAGTGAGGTTTATGAAATTATCCCTTAATTATTAGATTCAATATTTGCCAGAATTCAACATGAATATTTATATGGGAGATTCCAAGATGTTTTTGGAAATTCATATGTGCATGAACATTTTAATACAGAAAACTTTTTATTAGGTGAAACTTTATTTTATTGATCAACAGCAAGAAAAGTGATTATAGAAAGAAAAATACACAGGGCCCCAAATTCAACTCACAAAATTATTACAACAAAACTAGGGAAGACCTATATTTATATGGCAAACATAAGAATAGTTTTTCATTTTTTTCAACCATACCTTATCAATTCTAGCAAAGAAAGGATGGAAATGTTATGTTCAATTGTTTGGCCCAACATAAGAGAAGTTAAACCTGTCAGAAGTAATTAAATCTGTAAAAGTAAGCGTTCTTGAAATAACTGTGAGTCTAAGATTTCGTAGGATGCAAACTTGGAAATTGCTTCAAGTCTTACATGAAATACTTGAACATTGGTTCCTGCGGGAATAAAGATATTGATGCCTACCGGCAAAAGAAAATGAATGCATATATGCATTTTGTACAGTAATTTTGGATTTATTAATAGATTAGTAGTATTTAGTTCTGATCGATCAAAAACAGATCTCCATCTCCACTTTTACCCCAAAATTGACAAAATAAAACAAATTACATATGCTAATCAGTAGAGGTTGTCAACATGTATCCAATCATAGCACTGGCGTCAGTCTTTTACAATGAAATAAAAATTCGCCAAAAAAATTGAGTAAGTACAACAATATGTACTACTTTCCCTAAATGGCTGAATATAGGGGTTATTCTTCATATGGGCTTACTCCTTTTGGACTGCAAAAATGCATGCATGTTACTATGATTTTCTAGGGTCAATTACTACCAGAAATGTTAAATGATATTTCAAGAATACTACGTGGTGATGACAAGTTAAACTCATGAAATCAATTATTACTTTTTGAAAACTCCCAAAAATATATTAACCGACTCTGGTGCAGTGAATTCAAATGGCGCAGTAAAAAAGATTCAAACAACATGCATGTAAAGGTAGACCGAAGCAGCAATGATTTTAAGCAAAAAGAAACTAATTTACACTCCTCTATTTAAACAGAATAAATTGTACAATCTTTAGCAGTTATGCTACAATATTGTCTTAATGCATAAAGAAAAATATAGGTTCAGTATGAAGATGCATGAAATTTTGGCTCTCGCTTTTAATTTCTAAGGACCACTGTGTGTGTGTGTGTGTGTAACACTTTCCCTTTACCGAAAGACATTCTTGCTGCAATAGACAAATATATAAAATCTGTCACCTGCATATGTACGCATTGCTTCTGTGAAATCAATGAATGATGCAATAAATGCATGCTCTTTATAACTCATCAACTTAACTCTCTGTATGCATGATACCTAATAAATTCCAAAAAAAAACAAAAAATCCAGGTTTCGAATTGGTTCATCAATGCAAGGGTGAGACTGTGGAAGCCCATGGTGGAAGATATATACAAAGAAGAGACCAAAGATGAGGAGCAGAAAAAAGTGACAACAGTAAATCATCATGCAGCCAATGAATTAGCCAAATCAGTTGATTCAGTGGATGAGGAGGACCACCACAACCAAAACCAAAGCCAAAACCAAAACCAAAACCAAAACCAAAACCACAACATAGTCTCTGCACAAACTCCAATGACCAACAGTAAAACAACAACAGCAACAACAATATTATCCTCATCAATCACAACTATGACATTGGTAGACGGGCGAAGATCCGAAATCAATGCTGTAGAAAAAGACCCTTCAAAGAACACCATCAATAATGGACAGTACACCTTGGGAAACCAAGCAATTCTTCAAGGTACCCCCTCAACTACAACTCCAACCTCCCTGATCTCATCACCCACATTTGGTCATCATCATGGTCAAACCTTGCCTACATATGGTTGTTTTATGGCCATCCCTGATGAGGCTCATGTAGGCATGCATGGTAATGCTACTTCCCGTGCAACAAATAACATTAATACATCCGGATCCCTTGTTGGGATGGGGAGCACTAGTCAGGCCGGGGATGTTTCCCTGACTCTGGGACTTCGGCACCCCTCATCAAATTTGCCAAGAAAGAGGACTGAGTTCTCTTTAAGAGACTTTGGGGCATTTTGAGTGAATGAAATTATTGATATATGACATATATATATAGTTTCGTAGTAGAAAAATCATAAGAATGTATGAGTGGAAGATATTAGTGCATACATAAACTATATAGTTTCTATTTAGCTGTTTGAAAACGTAAAGTTGGTTGCAATTGTATAAAGGAGTGGTATATGGGTTGTTTTTTTTCCCCTTTTATGAAATTTGTTTGGGAGAATTTTCATCATTACTAGAAAAAATGAGTAGCTCTTTTTTGTTTTTGTGCGCTTTTCGCTCTTATAATTTGCTGGAACATATTTTGGTTAATGACTATCATCCATCACTCCCAGGTTAGCTTCGAATGCAATTAGTGAACTGAATTGTCATGTATATTAAATTAAATAACTTAGTGACATATCTTCGTTGTCCATTATAAGGAGGACACTTGTTCGTATACAGCCAGTAAACACAGTATGTCGGATGTGGACAACATTGAATTCTGGTAATAAGCTATCCATATACATACATATATATATATATCTGTGTATATATGTATATATTAGACAGATAGATATATGCCCACGTGTGGTTAATTTGTTTGCCAAGATCCTTGATCGATCTCTAGTTGTTTTAATATAAGAGAGTGACGTGCATCAATAATGTGAACAGAAATCTCAAGTCCACAAGCTGTTAATTCAGAAAATGAATAAGTAGAGAAAGGGAGAGAAAATGGCTCCTTTATGGAGAAAGATTGGAGGGACTTACAATTATTACTCATAAGAACACTAGCTACCATCGCAATAATTTTGAATTTGGTTCATTCGGGTCCCTAACTATCTAAGGTCACACTTGATTACACATGTAATCACTTACTAAATTAGCTAATTCTTCATGGTTTATGCTTCTATTGAATATGCTGTGTCATGTCTAAAAGACTCCATTTTGTGATAACTTTGCAGTCGTCACTGAGAAATATTATCACTAATGACTAATTTTTATAGTGAATTGTGCAAAACGGAGTGTCATGTGACCTAAAATTAAGGAGTTCATACACGCAATATTTACTTTTTCTCCAACGAGGCCACTGCCTTTCTTCTCTAATTAAAGAGGATAACATTAATTTTGAACTTTATCAAATGTGGACATGTTTTCTGTTTAATCAAAAGGAAAAAAAAAGAAAAGAAAACACCTATCCAGCACATTTCTTACGAGTTTCTAAGAATAGCTCCATATACACTGTATAGGATGCTGAGGTCTCCCAGAAATTTAGGATGCTTTTATCATGAAACTTTTAAGTGACACGAACATGAAGTCAGATGCAGATGCAAATGCACTATTTGAAGATAAAGTAGTCATTAACTTGAGGAGCACAATCACTAACCTGGTACTGTTTGTTTCTGGCAACTAGCACAGCTTTTGTTAATATTTACACTGAAAGCATGCTAATAGTACTAATGTCCATGGTCCCCACTCAAAAGACGCATGATTGATGGTTCTTGATGTTTAACTTTTATTTCTCAACGCTTGAAAATGTCAGATTTAGTTGGTCTCCAGTGAATCCTATTACTACCAATAGTAGTTATGTGTCTGGTAGTACAATTTTTTGAGAGAAATTTGTGAAAAATCCAGCATCAACAAGTTATTACAGCAATAAATTACAAACAATGGATGTGCTTTGAACTTCTACATTTCTTGCCAAAAGAAGAAGAAGAAATCAAGTGAAGCAACTAACTGATTTTCGACAACATAAGGTGATTTAGTCGATAAAGAAGGGCTACTTTCTCACAAAAAATCGTGTGCTCGAATTTTACCACCAATGTGAGACAGTGTTGGTGGGTGATCCACAAGAACCCCTCTAAATGAAGTATAATTTCAAGACATGCCTTGATCCATGGTTGTGATTGAAACTGAATCCATCCAAACTCTTTCGTATAAAAAAAAAAAAAAAAAAAACTGAGTTCCCTTCTTTTACCAGCATTACTGTAATAAGTTCTAAAAAATGGACTACATAAGCTCATAAACTGAGCATATACAGTTGCATTTGCATTAGTTAGTACAAAGTAATCATGCAATATGTTACGTCAGATTCTGGACAAAATGAATAGAAAATTTTGGAATTGAGCAGCTCATTGCTCCATCCTTGGGTGGGATGACTGCCTGTTCACATTTAAGCAGATATGGGCTTTCACGGGTTTATGATCAGAACTGCTGATGGTATCCATAGAATCATAGCAATGCAATGTTGCCTTTATGTGGTCATGATCGCCAATCTTGAACAATATGCGATCTGTCCACGCTGGAACCCGAACCTGCAATGCACCAAGACACAGCCAAACTTATCAGTCAATGCAGGTCTTTGTTAATTCATGATTGATTAACTTTAACTAGGAGCGTAGGAGGAGTGAGTATAATAAATACGCACCTTGTAACTAGTGTCGTAATTGCTGCTTCCTATATTGTACTTGTATGTTGGTTTAAACGATAATGTTCCTTCTCGAAATCCATTAAAAATTTGCCCTCTTTCAGCTTCTTGCAGAAGTTGGTCCTTGCTAGTCAGCAGCTGCAGTCCAGGTTGCAAAAGTTTAGGACAAACCTTAAATTTATGCTTAATACTTCGGTACCATAAAGTGTTGAGGGACAAATTAAATTAAAGTCCCTTGCTGGGTTGCTAAAAAGTTGCACAAAGTTGATAATGCTCCATTCTGTCTTAAATGGATTGGAGTTGGACACTCGGTTTCTCTTTCTCTTATGAGGATCAGGAATAGAAAAACAATCTTTACCGGACACAAAAACAGATATTAATCTTGAAGCCAGATGGTAAAGCAATCTCTATATATGAGAGAGAGAAACTGTATATTGTAGGACTTCTTCACTTACTTCATGAAGGTTTTCGTGTATCAAATCTCTAGCCGGAAATGTATTAATTCCTTCAAGTCTATAGTTGAAATCTCCCAACCATACGGTGAGTTGGGCGGGTGTGGCATTGGAGAAGATGGAGCGTGATATGTGCCTGAACTGGTCGTTTCTCTCTTCCACATTGCCAACATGTGCTGCATGTGTTGTTAAAGTAGCCAAAATCCAATACACAAATGGTTAGTGATGATGAATGCACGCATTTTAGAGACTAAATTAATTTGCTTTTAGACGCTCCACCATCTTTGTCAACTAAAATAATCAAGAATATGCTCCTGTATATAATATATATATATATATATGTACTTAACTTTTAAGATGGCAAAGTACACTTAACTTTTAATTAATATGGTTTTACTGCCAGTGTGGCTCAAATATTCAGAAATCAATTTCTCTGGTTTTCTGAATTAAGAATGTATATGATATACAGATTAATCTTTCCTATACTGACAATTTATACACTGTCAGCGTTGGATAAATGACAACTATACAAAATTTAAATTGAGATTTAACTTTTGTACACATGTCATGAATCCAACAGTTACGGCGTGTATATATATTAAATTCATTCCAATGCTATAAGTCTACCGGACTGTAATTAATGTATGACATTACAATGAAAAATTCGAAGACGAATCAAGGAAGATAACACAGCAGCCCAATTTCAACCAAACATTGATGCGGAGTTGGCCACATAGTGTTTGAGAGAAGTTTCAACGTCTGTGGACCAATTGATGACATTTTTGAGCTGTGAACTCTGCAGACTCTTTGGTGTGAATATGGGCACTAAATGTCCAACCTTACAACCACAGCAAGACCAATTATTGCATCATGGATTTGGACCAGAGGCCTGTGATACATTGTGCTAGACTACGTGGAGGGAGGGAGGCATTTATGTACTTTTGTACTATTTCTTTTTCTTTGTTGAAATTAGAGAAGAATAGTGAAGTTTCACCATGAGTAGAATAGTCCAGTCCACTGATTGATGTTACTTACCAGCAAGATGGCAAGAAACAAACAGCATTTGTATTCCCTTGTACTTAATTCTGATAGCAACAGCTCCTTTCTTTCTCCCAATCAGCCCTCCAAGCCCACCAACAGGCTGCTTATCCACCTTTATTCCTACGAATCAATGAACATCGCAAAAGATTAGAATATAAGATTGTGTTATGCTAAATAAGGCAGCCGAAGTTGATTTTGAAATTTGATCTTGAAATTCACTGGAGGCAAAGTACAACGCACCTCTTACAAACTGCTGAGAATGTTTCGGTCCAAATACGAACAGCTGCAGTGATTGCATTATAGCTTCCCCCAGAAGGCTTCAGGAATCAATCAATTGGAGAAGCAAATGTTAGAATCTACATATCTCTCAAAGTTAAAGGGAAAGAGAAAGTTTTTTTTTTTTTTTTGAATCTTTAATCATACTTATGATACAAAATAACTTCAAATTATTAGCATGTATAACAAATTTAAAAACCCAAGTAAAACTTGGTATAGCTAAAACAACAAAATTTATCTTCATTATTAGGCATATGGTTTTATGTGGTTGGAAAGGTGTGAATATTAGAATCTGGTTTTTCTTCAAGTGGGAAGCTTCATACTTTTTCCAAATTATGCTAGGTCACAATCATGGTGTGGCCGGCTCTATCAAATTATGGCCAAGGATCCCTCAAAAATTATGGTCCAGGTTGCTCCCGGAAAAGTAGTAATAGCAATCTACCACTGCTATCAAAAAAGAACAATTAAAGAACCTCAAATGACAACAATTCAGGCATAAACATGAGGAAACATATATACGAAAGAAAAAAAGCAAAACAAACCCTTAAGAATTAAAGAATTTAAGAAAGATTGACGTGAAGATAATTAATATCCCAGGAATTTCTTACATATGAGTATCAGCTAAGACATTCTTCAATAGTTGGGCAATGTTCTCCCGAGGCACCTCTTGCAGACCAATCACAAGAAGATCCAGCTTCCGAATTTTACCAACCAGCTTGTTTATATCTTCTGAGGATACCTTTTCATCAATGAATACTAATCATAGTTAGTTATTAGAAGTTAAAACGTGGAAGAAGAGAAGAGGAGGAGGGGGGGGGGGGGGGGGGGAATGAGACTCTTGAGTTGATTACCTGTCCATTCATATTCCAAGTCACTATGCAAAGGCAAACGTCAGAATGGCCGGAGAACTCACAGCAATTGCCGGTATCCACAGTTCTGACGCCTTCATGAGTCCTGTCATCGCTGTCAATTATACTCGCCGCTGTTTTCTGCTTGATCATCTTCTTCGTTTTTCTGCTTAGTCTTGTACAGAAAATACCGCAGAGCCCTTCCATTGATGTTGGTGTGCCTTCTGACCTTCATACAAT